TTTTTTTTTTTTCTTTCTTGTATACTGTCGAGTCGGATCTGACTTGCACAGGAAGAAATTGCCCGTCTGTCTCCAGTGGAGCATCTGGTGGATTTGAGCTACATGCTTTTGGGATTGCAGAGCAGCTTCTTGCCACAGAGCTCCCTTCCTATTTCATTTTTTTGTTTTTTCACAAGTGCTTTCCTTATTTGGAGTTTCTTTCTTCTCCAAATAAACTTGACAATTTCCCTTCCTTTCAATCTCCTTGAAAAATTAATTTGGTATCTGGATTGGAATTGCATTGAACATGTGGATTGCTTTTGGCAGGATTGTAATTTTCACAATATTGAGTCTTCCTATCCACGAACAGGGTACCTTTTTCCATTTCTTTGGGTATTTTACTGTGTCTTACAGAAATATTCTATAGTTCTCTTCGTATTGGTCTTTTGTGTCTCTAGTTAGGTTCACTCCCAAGTATCTTAATTTGTGGTTGTCCATTGTAAATGGTATTACTTGCTTTTCTTCTCTGAGTTATCTTTGTTACTGTAGAGAAATCCCACTGATTTTTTTTTATATTGATCATACATCCTGCCACTCTACAAAATTGGTCTACTAGCTCTAATAGCAAGTAATAAATGCTGTAGAGGATTAGGAATTCATATATTGTTGGTGGGACTGTAAAATGGTACAACCACTATGAAAGGCAATTTGGTGCTTCCTCAAAAAATGAACATAGAAATTCCATATGGCCCAGTTATTACACTGCTTGTGATATACCCCAAGAAAATGAGAACTGGAGTTTAAACGAAGACATGTACACCAGTGTTCATAGCAGCATTATTCACCATTGCAAGAACATGGAAACAGCCCAGATGTCCAACCACAATGTAATAGATTGAGAAATTATGGTATATTCACAAGATGGAATATTATGCACCACACAGGAGCAATGATTTTGTAAATTATCCCTAACTTAGGAGGGACTGGAGAACATTATGTTATGTCAACTGAGTCCCATATGGACAAATACTGTATAAGACCATCACGGCAGAATGAGTATGAGGATCTGGGGGTGGAGGGCTAGCAGAGGGCTGAGGATGGGGGGTGGGTATTAATCGTAAGGTCGCACGATGTGGGGTGTGTATGAAAGAAATGAGAAGATCCAGGGTGAAAAACAATGCATATGAACTTTGTAAATAAACCAGGTGTTGTTGTTATGTGTTTTCAAGTCACTTGTGACTCATAGTGACCCTATGTACAAGAGCCCTAAATGCTGCTCAATCCTGTGCCAACCTCACCATCTCCAACACACTTATTCCCACCACCCCAATCACAGAATCAATCTATCTATCTCATTGAAAAAAGAAATTATAGAATTAGTGGAAGATACAATTGAAGTTATACATACAGATATATGTATGGAAAAATTGAAATATCATATTATGCAGTTTAAATATAATCATATGAAAAGTTTAGTGTTGAACCCCTCAACAAAAAAATTTCTCAAACGATATCCCAGACCATATAGTTTCATTCAGGTGAGAAAATTTACTTTCCAGGGAACCCTGCTCATCTTTCTACAGTTCATGACGATGTCTCATGGTAAGTTCTTAAATTGACTCTCTTTTCTTTGGGATGACACACTAAATCTATTCCAACTTTAACTAAGTTCTTCAAATATTTGACAACAACAATTATGGGTCTCAATATCTTCTACATATTATTGTTGTTGTTGTTCCAACTGTGACTGTAGTGACCACAAAACCAATGTATCTGAAACCTGCTCTATCCTTTGTCATCTCATTAGATTGTTGCTGTTGTTGTTGTTATGTGCTGTTGAGTCACTTGCGACTCATAGCCACCCTATGTACAACAGCCTTAAACCCTGCTCTGTCCTGTGCCAAAAGCACTGTCTCCGACACACCCATCCCAATTGCCCCAGTCACTGAATCAATCCATCTCATAGAGGGTCTTCCCCTCCTGCGCTGTCCTTCCACCCTCCCAAGCATGATGTCCCTCTCCAAGGACTGGTCCCTCCTTACAACATGTCCAAATTATGTCAGACGAAGCCAAAGAATTCTTACCTCCAAGGAGCAGCCTGGTTTAATGCTCTCCAGGATGAATCTGATTGTTTTCTTAGCAGCCATTAGATTAGTTCCTTTAATTTTTTTCCTATTTCAGAGATTTGAAAGTTGCTGAATATTAATCGTTACTTTCTGAATGTGCTCAAATTTATCCTTTTTTGTTTTTTAATTCCAGTCTCTACAATGAAGAGATTGAGATTGTTGACAGCTTCAGTTTGCTTGGCTCTACATTCAACACTTTTGATACCAGCAGCCAGGAAATGAAAAGATGAATTGCAGTGGGAAAATCTGTCAGAGACCTCTCCAAAATACTGAAGAGCAATGATGTCAGTCTGGAGACTAAGGTGCACCTGATATAGGCCATTGTCTTTGCAATCACTTGCTATGCATCAGAGAGCTGAACAATGACTAGGGATGATAGAAGAAGAGTTGATACCTTTGAGCTGTGGTGCTGGTGAAGAGTATTAAATATACCATGGAACGCTAGGAGAACAAACAAGTTCATCCAGGAGAGGGTGAAGCCAGGCTGTTCCTTGGAGGCAAGGATTCTGAAGCTCTCTCTGACATACTTTGGGCATTTTGCAAGGTGGGATCAGTCCTTGGAGAGGGACATCATGCTTGGGAGGGTGGAGGGACAGCGTAGGAGAGGAAGACCCTCTATGAGGTGGATTGATTCAGTCACTGGGGTAATGGGGATAAGCTTGTCAGAGAGAATAAGATTGGCAAGGGATAGAGCAGGGTTTAGGGCTGTTGGACATAGGGTTGCTATGAGTCACAGGTGACTCTACGGCACATAACAACAACAAAAACAACAATAATCTAGGTAATTCAGCAACAAAAGGAGGGAGGCACATATATATCTATTTTTGTTAAATTCTGGAATTCTATTCATTAATTTTAAGATGACATTAGCTTCTGGGTATCTACTTCATCTTGCTGACTTCTGAGGACATATTGTTGTGTACCATAGAGTCAGAACCAACCCATAGCTGACACTGGTGAGTTTTCAGGCAGTTAATCGCATGGTAGTAGATTGCCTGCCCAAACTGTGTGCTTTTGAGATTGCAGCACATCTTCTATCATTGTTGTTAGGTGCCACTGAATTGAGCATAACTCATAGTGACCCTACGAACAATATCTCTGAATCTGTCCTATTTGTGCCATGCTGACAATCTTGAGCTCATTGTCACAGTCATTGTTAATCAACATAGAAAAAGATCTTTTTCTCTTTGGTGTCCCTTTCCAAGGAATAGGCCCTGCTAGCAAAATGCTCAAAGTATGAGAGGCAAAGCTTCATCATCTTTGCCTCAAAGGAATATTCTGGCGGCACCTTCTCCAAGATATTCCTTTGTTCTTTTGGCAGTCTATGGGATATTCAGCACTCTTCTCTAACACCATAGTTTAAAGGTATTATTCTTCTCTCATCCTTATTCATTGCTCAAATAGTCATGAAAAAGTCTTATTTTCCCCACATCTAGTTAAGGTATGTTTCCCTCATTCTTTTAAAGTTTTAAGCCAGGAAGACAGTCTGTGTAGTTCTACTATTTTATTAAACTTAGCTCCTGGCAGGCTGACAGAATAGTCCCAACTCTAGTACTCAATGTATTTATTTCTAGTTTTTTTTCCATTTTATGTAATTTGCCGATTTTTATAATCATGCTTTCTACTTCCTTATCCAAATTCATTATATTAGCTAATAAAATCAAGTAGTACTTTCACAATAAGTCTGAGGGGAAAAAAATCACAACATGAACTAGAAACTATTTCAAAGACAAGAAAAATATAGCAAATTCTGTAGAATATAGAGTAAGTAGTGATTAGATGAAAAAATTATATATTTAAATACATATATTGTTGTTTTTATGTACCATTGACTAAGAACTGACTCAGAGGCGATCTTTCAGCTGATTTTCAGAGGCAGTAAATGGCATGGTAGGAGACTGCCCACCTTTCTCCAGTGGAGCCACTGGTGGGCTCGAATCATGTGCCTTTGGATTGGCAGTGTAACTCCTTACCACTAAGCTACCAGCGCTCCCTAAATACATAAACTAGAGAACATAAAAGTTTATAATTAACAACCTAGGTTCATTTTTTAAGAAGCTAAAATAATAAACAAAACTCAAAGTAAAAAAATGAAATAGACCAAAGATGAATAATAAAGAAAATAAATCTTAAATTGCTTATTTGGAAGGATAAATAAAATTCAAACTAAAAAAGACAGAAACAGAAAATATCAGACATATGTGATAAAATATAAAAAACCACAACGACATAGCAACCCTCCATAGGGTTTTTGACTGAGGATAAAAATCTTAACAGGAGATTCTTTATTCTGGAATTCCATTTGCCTCTGTGGTTCACCTTGCCAACAATATATGTGTTCATGTGTGAATTCACTTCTTAGAATAAGAAATAAGATGAAAATAAAAAAGGTAGTATAGGCCCAGAAGCTAAGCCTAGAAGGCAGGAGAAACAGGACAGAAGGCTGCATGCAACTGAGAATCACAGGGAGATGTGTGAGAAGTGCTGCAGCAATGCATGGATTGTAACTGATGCCATAAAATAAAAATTTGTATGAACAAATGAATGCAAAATGAATTACTCTGTAAATTTTCAAAGCGTAAAAGAAAAGCTCAATAAATTATTTACACTTCATTAACTTCTTTGATTGTGTTCTATAGATTCTTTTCAAAAGCTGCATATTTTTCAATTATATGAAATTATATTGAATCACATTTTATTGAATAAGTTCTTCTAATTTTAAATATACATTAAAATGTCATGATGAAATATGTCTCTACATGTATCTACAGATGTCTGTCTTAGAGTAAAGTTAAAAAAATTATCAAAATGCTTTCTCTTAAATTGCATAAAACAATTACAAATATGAGTATCAACATGAATCTGCTCTAAAGCTTACCTTTCTCTTTTTATTTTTTCCATCAGGTAGAGGAAAATGATCTTCCAAAAACTCACCCAAGGAAACCAAGAGCTTCTCTTTATATTCTTTTATAGTAAGCATTTTAGTTTTCAGCTCATTAAAGATTCTGGCAGATTAAAACAATTAAGCAATTAGCTCATATAATACATATGTACATATTGTGCTGTTGTTATTTACTCTTGAGTCAGAATGGACTCATAGCTGAGCCTCCAGCAGGTTTTCAAAGACAGTAAAAATTACATAGAGAATGCCCATCTTGTTCCCCAGAGAATACCTGGTAGATTCGAATCACACACCTTTTGGAAGGTAGAACTCCTTACCATGAGGCCATCAGAGTTCCTTATACGCATATAAAACTTGTTATTGTTGTTAGGCGCTTTGGAGTTGAGTATGACCCATGGTGACTCTATGAACAATAGATCTGAACCTTTCCTTGCCATCCTCACCATATCTGATATACTTGAGCCCATTATTACAGTCATTATGCCAACCAACCTCAGTGAGGATCTTCCTCTCTTTTATTGGTCCTCCACCTTTCCAAGCATGATGTTTTTTCCCAAGGACCAATATTTCTTAACCACATGACCAAAGTATATGAGACAAAGCTTTGTCATCCTTGTCTCCAAAGAGAATCCTGGAAGACTTTCTCCAAGACATTTGTTTATTCTTTTATCAGTTCATGAGATATTCAGTACTCTTCTCCAACACCAACACTGATTCTTCTTCTATTATCTTTATCCATTGTATAACTTTCAGATGCATAGCAAGTAACAGAAAAGACCATGGCTTGAATCACATCATACATATAATTAGTGAAACTCATAAAATTAATTAAATCATGGTCAAACTTCACTGCTTAAAACAAATATCTAGTTTTATGAAATTGTTGTTTATTTTGTTGTTGACTGTCATCGAGTCAAACACAACTCTTAGTGGCCCTGTGAACAAAAGGCCTGAAGCCTTTCTATAACTATCATCATTTATTAAAGTTCATAGTTTCCAGAAGCATGTTGTGTAGGAAGCGGATGACATTCTTGCTTTCAATTTATGAAGTAATATTCTCTAATAAACATTATGAGGAAACTAAATATACCATCAAGTCAAATTACTGAAAAAAAGACTATGTAACTCATAATTGGCAAAAAGTAGAGCAGGTCTCACAACTGCTAGTAGAATTTGTTTTCTATGCATTTCTTATACTAGAAAAATGCAAATAATTTCTCCTGTTTTAAAATCTCAAGGGCTCTGGTGGCCTAATGCGTAAGGAGTTGTGCTGTCAAAAGCAGGCATTTTGAATCTACATTCTGTTGTTCTGAGAGAGAAACTTTTTCCTCTATGATTTACAGCTTCTGAAAACTTACTAGAGCATCAACTATGAGTCAGTTTTGACTAAATGGCACCTCACAACAACAATTTCAAGAATGCATGAAACAATGTATATAAATGAAATACAATGTATACAGCTTTTGTACAAAAACCAATATAAAATTAAAAATTTAATAATAAAATAATTAAATGAGGTAGCATGTAAAATTATATTTAGCATGAAGAAAAACAATCTATAGAATTAAATCTTTTTAAAAATTAAAAAAATCTAGATCACAAAAGTAATACCTTGATTCAGAAATAGGTACGGCCTGGTTTATCAGTTCACTGTGTACATTATTGAGAGATTGCAGTATCTGTTTTTGTTCATCCAACCACTGTTGTTCCCTTTAATAGTGAAAAAACAAACAATAGACAAATAAACTATTAACTGTCAATTCAATATGTATCAGAGATTAAGGGCCATGGCAGCCCAGTATTGAACAATTAACTGTCAATTGAAGATAAGTAGTTTTAATCTACCAGATGACATAGAAAAAAAGATACAGGAGGCTGAAAAGACCACAGCAATTCTGCTCTATCCCACAGCATGAGGATGAGTCAGAATCAATGGAATGAGCTTTTATAACAGAAAAATACCTTTTCAGGTCTTCCTTTAGCTTTTCATTTTTTGACTGAACAGTAGACAGTACCATTTCCAAATCACGTCTCAACTTTTGGAACTGAAAAATAAAGAATTATTTAGTCTTTATTCTCATGAATAGTTGTAGTTATTACACATTGGTCTAAAATCAAAACTTCAGTCCAGAAATCAATAGTAAACAAAAGTTATCTATATATAGCAGTGTCTAATCCACTTCCTAAACATGCCTCCAGAAACTCTATGAACTTTGATAAGTGTCATTAGCTGTAGAGGGGCTTCAAGCTTTTTGTTCATAGGGTTGCTATGAGTAGTGCTTGACTCAAAGGCAATCAACAACAACAACAATATATATATTATATATATAAAATATATATATTACAAAAAGTATGATTAAATATAAGAAATATAAAAAGGAGTCTTGAGTAATATATTTTTATTACATACTGAAAAATAAATTAGTGTAAATTTCAGGAATTACTTAGATTAGGGGTCTTCTCTAAGGAGACTATGCAAAAATAGATACAAATGGAATTTACTCATCCAACAAATATTTGTTATTTGTCATTGGCAAACAGATTGTTGAAAAGATGTGAAACGAAAAGTCAAAGGACTTCAGGTAAAAAGAATACATCAGATATGGACACAAAAATAAATAAAGAGCACTGCAAGTGGGAAAAATTTGGGTTAATTTTTTTAAATTATTTTTTTTCTTATTTTAATGTCTTTAAAAGACATTTAGATATGTAGAGGAAAACAATAATAATGGCTAATCGATTTTATAAATTATAAAGAAGCAATTTATATCACAGCAATTGCACAATTAAAGAGGCTGTTGTGATGTGCTATTGAATCAAATCTGATTCAAAACTGACCTTCAAGTGGGTTTCTAGAAATTGTAAATCACATGAGAGGAGATTTCCCATCTTTCTCTCTTGGAGCAGCTGGTGGATTCAAATGTTGGGTTGACAGTGCAACTCCTTACCAACCTATAAGCCACCAGAGTTCCTTTATATGTAATAAATAGGTGCTGTTAAGTGTGACTCATGGAAACCCTAAGAACAAGAGATGTGAAACCTGTCCTATTCTGTGCCAGCCTCACAATCTCTGACACACTTGAGCTCATTGTCACAGCCACTGTGTCAATCTACCTAGCTGAGAGTCTTCTTCTCCTTTGCTGTTCCTCTTCCTCTTTCCAAACATGACATCCCTCTTCAAGGACTAGCTTCTCTTAACAACAGCTCAAAAGTCTGTAACATGAAGTTTTATCATCTTTGCATACAAGAAGCACTCTGGCTGCACATTCTCCTGTTTGTCTTTTGGTAGTCCTTGGGGTATTTAAAACTCTTCTCCAACACTATAGCTCAAAGGCATCAATTCTTGTCCGTCATCTTTATTCAGTGTCCAATTCTCGGTAGCACAGCAGGTGATTGAAAAGACCATGGTCTCAATCATACCTTGGTCCTCAAAATAGTATCATTGCTCACCAATAATTTGAAGAGGTCAAAGACTACAGATTTTCCCACTGCAGTACATCTCTTAAACTCTTGATTGCTGGTACCAAGTATACCAATTGATCATCCAAGATGAAGCCATTGACAGTCTCAATCTTTTCTCCATCTATCATAATGTCCAGTGTTAGAAGTTTGGCTTTTTTGACATCGGATGCAATTTATATTGAAGGCTGCACTATTTGATCATCTGCAGCAAGTGCTTTAAGTTCTCCTTACTTTCAGCAAGCAAGGTTGTGGCAACTGCATAATGCAGGTTATTGATGAGCCTTTCTCCAATCCATATGGTACATTCTTCTTCATAGAGTCCAGCTTCTTGAAAATTTGCTAGGCACACAGATTGAACAGGTATGAAGAAAAGGATAAAACCCTGACATATGCCTTTCTTAATTTTAAACCAGGAAGTGGAAAGGTATATAAACTCTACAATCATACAGATGATGTTAATTAGACAACAGAGTTCAGGTCTTTTGTTCATAGGGTCAGTATGAGTCATATTCGATTTGATAACACTTAACCACTGCTAAGTGAGACTAGTGTTGTTATATTTGGAGGAACATTCTTCTACTTTGTGTATCACTCTTCGTTAATTCACTGTATTGAGATAATCTGAGTTTGCTGTGATGCTGAACCTTGTGCCATTGGGGTGGGTATCAAATATCATAATGGTCTCCCAATGTGGGCAGTGTTTGGTGGAGTTCTCAGATGCACAACAGGTTTGCAAGCAGGATTGGCATTCAATTCCTAAACCACATGCCTACATAAACTTTATGAACTTGAAGAAATGACAACAATTATGGAAAGGCATTAGGTCCTTTGTTCATAGAATTGCTAGAATTGTTAACAGTCAAATGTTTAATAATCACTGTGACACCATAAAAAAATACCCACTGTCATTTAGCTGATTCCTCATCATAGTTATCTCCCCATTAGGAAAGTCCTAAGAGTCAGAATATACTCTGCAATAATGGGTTTGGTTTTGATAATTTTAAATTCAATATGCTTAAATATGCTACTTCTCATAAATTTTGTATAGAGCAATGTCAATTAGAATTCTAAGAAGATCTTTTGGAATGATAAGTCAATAATTAATTTATAAAGAAATAGAAATTTTTTTAAAGAACAAAGTTAAAGAATTCCTATCACTTTATTTCCAACCTTATAAAGCTCTAATAATTAAGACAGTGTATTTGGCTTAAAAGTCGAAACAACAGTCAAAGAAAAAATAAAAACAGCACAAACTAAAATAAAACAGAATAGAAATTGAGAGTAGGTAAATAGATTCATATACATATGGTCAATTAACTTTCAACTAAAGGTGCCCAGAGAGTTCAACAAAGACCAGACAGGTTTGTTTGTTTTTTTTCAACAATTCATGCTAGCATATCCATTACTAAAATAAATAAATAAATTTTAAACTTATGTATTCTGGGTGTCTAAGGTTTATCATTCAAAATTTTCTTTCCTAGTCAAAAGATGAACTGTTTTTTTGCTGAAGTAATTATTCCATTAAGGAGGGAGAATGCCATGTGGATGGGCAGGAATATATCAATACGGAATTCTCACTACTGGGCCAAATGGCAGCACCATGATAGATGGAGAAGAGATTGAGATTGTTAACCATTCAACTTGCTTGGTTCCACAATCAACACTTGGTACCAGCAGTCAGAAAATCAAAGATGAATTGCATGAGGGAAATCTGCTGTCAGGAACCTCTCCAGAGTGCTGACAAGCAACGATGCTGGTCTAGAGACTAAGGTGCACCTGATCCAGACATAGTATTCACAATTACTTGCTCTGCATCAGAGTTAGACAATAACCAAAGAAGACTGAAGAAGAGACACCTTTGAGCTGTGCTGGAGAAGAGTTTTGACCCATGGACTACCAAGAAAGCTAACAGGACTGTCCTGGAGAGGATGAAACCAAGCTGTTCCTTGGAGGCATGGATTTTGAGGTTCTGTCTCACATACTTTGGGTATGTTGCCAGGAGGGGCTAGTCCTTAGACGAGAATATCACACTTAGAAGTGTGGAGGGACAGAAAGGAAGGGAAGACCTGAATGAGATGGACTGACACAGACTGGAGTAATGAGGGTAGGTGTATCAGAGACAGTGAGACTGGCTCAGGATAGAGCAAGGTTCAGATATACTGTGCTTAGAATCGATGAAAGTCATAGTTGACTTGATGGCAAATAACAATAATACACACAATCACACACATATGTATATACATATAGAGTTCCTAAACTTTATTCTCTATAGAGATAAAAAGAAAAAAAATGAAGAAAATTTGGTGCTCTCAAGCTAAAAGAACTGAAGAACAAATTTAAACCATGAGCTGTAAAACTATTCTACGGTCAAAACTTTCAGTGATGTAGGAAGTATCAAAAGAAAATGGAAAGTATACACAGAGTCACTGCACCAAAAAGAACTGGTTGACACTGTACCATCTCTGGAAGTAGCATATGCTCAAGAGCAAAGAAGTCTAAACTGCACTTAAGGTTTTGGCAAAGAGTAAAGCTCCAGAAATTTATGGAATACTAATCAAAGTTTTGCCACAAACAAGCAATTCAAAGGATGCTTATTAGTCTATGCCAAGAAATTTGGAACGCAGCTAACAGGCCAACCAACTATCAACTAGAAAAGATCCATTTTGCTCCAATTTAAAAGCACAGTGCCAACAGAGTGTAGGAATTATCAAACAATATCATCAAATACACATACAAATAAAATATTGCTGAAAATAAGTGAAAAAGGGCTAAAACAATACACAGAGAAATGAAAAAAATTCAAGCTGGATTCAGAAAAGGCTGTAGCACAAGGGATATCATTCCTGATGTAAGATGAATGTTAGGCGAAAGAAGGAAATACCAATAAAACTTGTATTTTACTGACTGTTCAAAAGCATTTGATTGTAGGGATCATAACAATTTTGACTTAACATTAACAAGAATAGGAATCTCAGAATACTTAGTTGTGCTCATCAGAAACCGAAACATAGACCAGAAGCTTTTGTGTGAACAGAACAAGGGCACAGAGCAAGGTTTAAAATTAGATAAGGTGTATGTCAGGGTTTTATCCTTTTTCCTTACCTATTTGGTCAGTATGCTGAGAAAAATCACTAAAGAAGCTGGACTTTATGAAGAAGAATGTGGCATCAGGATTGGAGGAAGACTCAACAATAGCCTGCATCAACCTTTAAGTACCTAATAGCAACAACAATAGAATTGTCTGAAATTGTTAAGACGTGCAGTCAAGTTAAATGAATAATAATTAGCGAATAGATGCAAAAGTTGGAAACAAAGAAAAAAGACTATTAATTGGAATACAGGGACTTGGAAAGACAGAGAGTCAACAAAAGTGAGGAATACCCCCAACAAGATGGACCAACATAGTGGCTGTCACAATGGACCCTAGTATATCAGAAATGATGAGGATGGCACAGGACAGGGCAGGGTACAGATCTGCTGTTCATAGGGTCGCTATCAGTTGTAGTCAACTTGATGGTACCTAACAACTATATATGCTTGGGCCTTACTGACAGAATGTACAGTTATCCATCTGATACTTTATGCATTCACCACCAGAGTTCTTTAATAGCATCAGGCTTCTTCAAATCCCAAGTCTTTCTGTAATTCTGTACACTGTGGATCTCTTTTCATCACTATTTCTACCTCCAGGCACATAAAGATACTTCTATCATTTCAGGCTCCAGAAACATGTCATAAAATTCCTGCTTGCTTTTATTCTCTTTCCTAGACTTTGACCTTAAAGATTTATACTTTAAAAATATCTTTTATTGGCATTGTGGTAAGTTTTGAGATGATATACGTATGTTTAGTCATTTTGCTAAGCTTCCTTTTTTTATTTTGTTACTAAGAGATCAAATGAAAATTCATTATGAATTTTTTTAAATTTTATTTTATTAATTTTAATGAACATTTACAGAGATTTTGGATTTCCATTCATTCATTGTTGCACTTTTTTCTCTAGTCCCCCTACCCCCTGCAGTTCGTTCCTCTCTTTGAAAAGCAAAAGATAAACTTCTTTGTTGGTATACAATCCCCCCACCCCCAGCCCCAAATGGAATCCACTATGCAACCTTAATTCTGGATTCCTGTGATAATCATAATACCCTAACATATATCGCTTTTAAACTGTTCTCTCCCTCATCTGTTTCAATTCAGTATACATAATTCATCCAGTTTTTCTCCGTCTTACCACAACCTTGATGTCAGTCCCATTCTACAACAGAGTAATTTTTATATTAAACACTAACTTTAGCAATTGATAAGAAAGTTCAAAATTTAAATTTGTTAAAATATTCAATAAAAAAGAATTAGAAATTATTTTAACAATAGTTTTAAAGAAAATGTATTCTAGTTCTTATATCACAAATTTACTCATGCTATTTAAGTAATAAATCATTTGAAATTTCTATCAATTCATTAAATTACTTACCTCTTCTTTTCCTAATGAGAGTAGGGTATCTTCACTCAGTGGAATAACTACAAAACAAAGCAAATCAAATGTATACATAAGCTTATGTACTAATTAAAATTCAAGAATCCTGTGGTTTGTAAGATACCCATCACCCTTTACACTTATTGTTTATGAAATGTAAGTTGTTTTATAAATACAACCAACAATATAAAATTCTACAAATATATTATTATATCTATGAATTTTTGTGTCCTTTCTTGTTTTGTTTTCTCAACCTCCCAAAAGCAAAGTTAACCATGTCTGATTATATTTTTCTCTAACATTTAATTACATGATCATATATACATATATTTATGGTGTATATATGTATACATAGATACTAGTGACATGTAACTGATGATTTCAAAAGCAAAACAGATTGAAGGAAAGACTCAATGAACCTGAAGAAAATAAAATCAATGAAAAATATCCAATTTGATACTATAGCAAGAAATAGATTAAAAATATAAATAAATACTACCCCCCAAACCGAAAAAGAACTTCAGGGACTTATGTGACTAATTAAAAACAAAAGTGGAGAAAGATGGTATAGCTGAAAAAGTAGTAAAAGAAAGAACAGTTGAAAATTTCACAAATATAGTCAAAGATATTTATTAATATATTCAAGAACTGATTGAAGGTGCTATCAGAGTGATCCTATAAACAGTAGATGTCCCATCCTCTTTCAACCTCACAATCTCTGACACACTCAAGCCTATTGTTACAGTCATTGTGCCAATCTATCTGGTTGAAGATCTTCCTCTCCTTTGCCATTCCTCCATCTTTCCAAGTATGATGTCCTTCTCAAAGGAATAGCCTGACTTAACAATATGCCCAAAGTATGAAGCTTTGCCATCTTTGCTGCAAAGGGGCAATTTGGCTTCACCTTCTCCAAGACATACCTGTTTGTTCTTTTGGCAGTCTATGGAATTTTCAGTACTCTTTTCCAATACCACATTTCAAAAGCATCAATTTTTCTTCTGTCATCCTTTTTTCTTTGTCCAGCTCTCAGATGCATAGTAAATGACTGAAAAGACCATGGTCTGAATCAGATGTACCTTTTTAGTCTTTAAGCTAACTTTGGAAAGTTCCATGACTGCTGACTTCCCCAGTGGAATACAACTCCAGATCTCCTGAATGCTGGTGCCAAGTGTATCTATTGTAGATTCAAGTAAAATAAAGTCATTGACAGCTTTAATCTTTTCTCCATTTATTATGATGTTGCTTGTTGGTCCAGTGTTGAGAATTTTTGTTTTCTTGATATTGAAATCAAATTCATATTGAAGGATGCTATGTTTGATCTTCTGCAGCAAGTATTTCAAGTCTTCCTCCCTTTTGACAAGCAAGGTTGTGCCATCTGCATACTGAAGATTCTTTTCCCCCCCTTGTAATTTTTTTTAAATTTTATTTTATACTGGTTTACTTACAAAGTTCAAAAAGTTTATATACATTGTTTTTCACATTGGACTTTTCCCCTTTCCTTTACCAATCCTTTCCTCCACACATCAAATTGTACAACCCTCTATTTAAGCCCCATCTCCCCTCCTTGGATACTCATACACACTCTACAATATTGGTCCTATAGAGCATTTGTCTTTATGAGACTGAGTTAGTTCCATTAGCATAATGCTTTCCAGTTCCTCCCATGTTAGGTAATAATTTACAAAATCATTGCTCCTGTGTGCTGCATAGTATTCCATTTTGTGAATGTACCATAATTTCTCAATCCATTCCATTGTGGTTGGGCATTTGGGCTGTTTCCATGTTCTTGCTGTAGTGAACAACACTGCTGTGAACACTGGGGTATAAGTCTCTGTTTGTGCCTCAGTTCTCATTTTCTCAGGGAATATTCTTACATATATTCTTGATGAGTCTTCTGACGATCCTGATACCACATTCTCCTTCATAGAATCCAGCCTCTTTAATAATTTGCTCAGTATACAGACTGAATAGATATGGAGAAAATACATAACCCTGACACACATCTTAATTCTAAACCATGTAGTGCTCCCTTGCTCTGTTCACATAGTAGCCTCTAGGTCTACGTCTAGACTTAGCATGAGCACAATTAAGTGTTCTGGAATTCCCATTCTTCTCAATGCTAGCCATAGCTTCTTATGATCCACACAGTCAAATGCCTCTGTATAGTCAATTAAACACAAATAGACATTCTTCTGGTATTCTCTGCTCTCATCTAAGATCCATCTAACTAACATCAATAATTATAACCTGATGCCATGACCTCTTCAGAATACAGCTTAAAGTTCTGACAGTTCCTTGTCTATGAAGTATTCTAGATGTCTCTGAATGACCTTCATCATTATTTTGATTACATATGATATTGTCTGATAATTTCAAATTCTGTTGGATTACATTTCCTAGAATGGCAACAAAGAAAGATCTCTTCCAGTCCATCATTCAGACAGCTCTCCTCGAAATGTCCTGGCATAAACTGGTGAACACATCCAGGGCTGCAACTGTCATTTGCAACATGTCAATTGGTATTAGATTAGATCAATTCCTGCAGCCTTCTTTTTTGCCAATGCCTTCATTGCAGCTTGGACTTCTCCCTTCCTTACCACTGGCTCTTGATCATGTGGTATTTCCTGAAATATTTCAGTGTTGGCCAGTTCTTTTTGATATGATGATTCTGTGTATTCCTTTCATAATATTTTTTTTCTTTTTCTGTGATTTAAAATTATCATACTAGTTTATTTTCAAAATTTGAATACACTGTTTTCCAGAACAGTCTTCCAGTTTCCCTCAACCCCTTGCCCCCGATCAAATTGTACAAAGATTGCGCATCTTTCAATATTACAAATCGATGCCTGAATGTGGGGTTTTTTTTCAGTTCTTTTAGCTTGAGAAATGCCAAGTGAGTTCTTCCCTTTTTATTCTCCAATTCTATGTCTCTGCATATATTGTTACAATAGTTTGTTTTGTCTTCTTGAGCTGCCCTTTAAAATCTTCTGTTCAGCTCTTTTACTTCTACTTCTCTTTCCTTTTCTTTGGCTTCTCAATGCTCTAGTACAATTTTCAGGATTCACTCTGCCATTCATTTCAATTTTATTTTGTTTTTCCTCCTGTCTTTGTAGGGACCTCGTTCCACAAGTCATCTGTTCTGTGATGGTTGGTCAAGAATTTTTAGGCATGATAGGCCAAAAGAAATGCATGCCAAGATCTAGAATGAAATTTTTAAAAGGTGAAGAGAAAAGAAGAATCTTGGAAATAGTCAGGAAAAAAACTCCCCAATGATTGTTCTTTAGGGAAAAAAACAATTAGAATCAAAGAAATTGCAACCTAGAAGTGTTGTATGTTGTTGTTATTGTTGTTATGTGCTGTCAAGCTGGAATGAAGTCATAGCTGACGTTGTAGTGGGTTTAAAAAGGCAATAAATCACACAAGAGGAGACTGTCTATCCTTCTTCCATTGAGCAGCTGGTGGATCCAAGCTACGTTCCTTTGGGATTGCAGCACAGCTTTTTATCACGAGGCCACCAGAGTTCCCTAGATATGTATATATATAATAATAATCTTCTTAAAGAATAAAAGAGAAATACAGACAATCTCAGACAAAAGGAGGGGGGGACCACAATTTACCAATCAGTGGACCTATCCTAAAACAGCACCCAAAGAAGCTCAAAAAATAGAAAACAATACAAGAAGGAATGTTGCAATGTTAGTGTATAAGAAAGAATAAAAAAGAGTAAAATCAGGTAAGAAAGCTGTCATAAGTTCTATAGTCACATTCACTCACTCATTGCCATGGACTTGGAACCAACTCATAGCTGACCCTTCAGTGAGTTTTCAGAGCCTTTAAACTGCGCATGAGTAGACTGCCCATCTTTCTCTCTCAGAGCAGCTGATGGGTTTAAACTGTCTCTCTTTGGTTTGACAGTGCAACTCCTAACACACTAGCCCCAAAGAGTGACCCACTATAAACATACAAATGAATTAGTCAACAACATAAGGGAGCTTGAATATGGATTTCAGTTCAGATTTTGGTTAGAGTTCACTCCTGATACCTTGATCGTAGTCTTAATACCCCAATTTCTATAAGAAAATGCTAAATGAAAGCTATGGCACTATGAATTAAATAATATGGCCCTTTTATCCATGTTATGTCATTGTTGTTATGTACCATTGAGCTGGAACTGACCTATAGCTGACTCTCCAGGTTTTCACAGGCAGTTAATCATACTGGAAGAGATTGTCCATCTTTCTCCCATGGAGCACATGGTGGATGTCAACTGCCTACTTTGGGGTTGGCAGCACAATTCCCTACCACTAGGCCAAAAGTTGTGGAAATCTGCTGTCATGAACCTCTCCTGAGTACTGAAAAGCAACAAAGTCAGTCTAGGGACTAAAGTGTGCCTAATTCAGGCCACAGTCTTTGTAAATTACTAAGGATGACAGAAGAAGAATTGATGCCTTTGAATTGTGATGCTGGAGAAGCCTTGAACATACCATGGACTGTCAAGAAAACAAATAGGTCTGTCTTGAAGAGGGTGAAACCAAATTTCTCCTTGGAGGCTAGGCTTTTGAAACTCCATCTCACATACTTTGGTCATGTGGCCTGTAAAGACTGATCATA